AAAAAAAAAAAAAAGCTTCAGAGAAAAGTAATTGCACTTCATTGCAGTTCCTAATTTTAAAGTGATAAGGCAGTGGCTGGTGGTACAGGGTACTCAATTAGATTGATGGTCTGATATAGTACAACAATTACTGTAGTTCAATTTGGAGCTTGTTTTGGGTAATATGTTACATAGCAGAATAGTTAAAGCTGGGGTAGCTGCTGGAAATAGTAAGATTGAGCTCTCACATCTTGATATATAGGTTAGATGACTGACTTAGATTTTGTTGTTAAATGGCCTTGTGTGGAAGTGTGTTTTTCTGAAAGATATTTACAGTCAAACTTGTAGTTAAGCATGTTAACTGTTAGCATGGGGGAAAAAAAAAACCCAACAACAGTACTTTGGAGAACATCTTGGTATGCACAATGCTTAGAGCAGGATCCAGAATAGGGTCATATTTTACTTGATGTCCAAAACACTGGCAGCGAATAACTGCATTATGTATTACAAATTTAACTAAAGAGTCTAGGTCAAATCATGATTCTGTAGATGCATTCATTGTGATTCTGATGCTGAATTATTCTGCAGAGTCATGCAGAATGAAAATATAAGCACTTGGGTCTATTTCAAAGGTAATAAAGATTTGAATGTTAGTCCAAATAGCAGTGTAGGTGCATTTTTTGTATTCCCACGCTGTTTGTTCGGAATAAATAAAGTTGGGGTAGTAGGTAAAGGGTGAGGTTGAGAGTAATGCTGCTTCTTATTTTCTAGAAAATATTATTTGTGCTTAAGAGCTGAAAATTTTGTACTTGCTAACAGAGTTCTGCTTTTTATTACAGTAATGTTTAAGAAATGTTATTAACTTGTCTCATGTGAAAAGTCTATTCGAACAAAAAGAGAGTTCATTATTATACTTGTAAAAGCGTATCTTCTGTGCATTTCTATTGGAGGAAAAGAGCAGAATTAGATGTTGCAGAAAGCCTAACAGGAGGAAACCAGCTAGAATTTCAGCTAGGTGGGACTGGCAGAGAAAAAGATCTGTGCTGTTTTTAGACTGTCTGACATCACAGTTTTGGCATAAAATTTTAAAATTCCTGTTTGTAGAGTCCAGTTTTCACTTTTCATTTAGAGCTATATGAATTTTAAATACTTGTACATCTGTTATTTTTTTTCCTTTTGCTTTTACTTTCTCCTCTCAGAATCAGATTGATATCAAGACAAATTTCCATCATTCTATTGAGTTGTTATGAGCTTTTCTGTCTCTGACAAAGCTTGTAAACTCATTTAAAAAAAAAAATTTTTTCTTTTTTTGTCACTTATATCTGACTTAAAAGTACTCTTGACAGGAGTTTTTTTGTAATTATTATTTGTTTTAGGAGCAGGACAGAGGGTGGTAGCTATATTTTACGTTGGTTCTAGCTTCTTTTACAGTTTGTCAGTGCAAGAATTGTCTCCTGGTAGGCTGCAGCACCTAAGAACAATCCAAATAATTTTAGCTTTCAAGCCACTCTTTGTTGTTTAATGTATCGAATAAACTTCCTTACTTTGTCCTTTCTTGACTTGTTGCTACCACATTGTGGTTCTCGTCTGCAATTTTTTATTTATTTTTTTTTTTTCCCTTTTGAAAAAGGGAGGAATCAGGACTAAGGTGATTTTCTGTTGGGCACTTCTTTCATTTGTGACTTTTGCTGTTATGCTATTAGTCACACATACAAATTGGCACTGGAACGGGCTTCCTAGAGAGGTGTCCATGCTCTAAGCCTGGGTGTTTAAGAGGCATTTGGACAATGCCCTTAACACCAGGCTTTAGCTTTTGGTCAGCCCTCAGGTGGTCAGGCAGTTGGACTAGATGATTGTTGTGGGTCCCTTTCAACTGCAACTATTCTATTAGTATTGTTAAAAGAAAATTATTTTTTTCTGATGGAGAAGTACTTTACCTGGAGAAAACTTAAGTTCCACCATTTACGTCTTTATAGCAGGACCATAAGGGAAAGAAGTAAGTCCAAGTAAAACCTATAATGAAATAAGAGGGTTTTTCCCTAGCAGGTTTTGCAGCGAAATGAAGCCTTTTTCATTTTTAAAAGTTTCTTGTGTGTGCCTTAGTCTTATATAGGAAATTGGGAGTCAAATATTGACTGTATGGTTCATGAAATAGTTTTATAAACTTTCTGGAACTGACAAGTGTTTAGATTGCCAGTGTCACTTTTTTTAAGTGTACGGCTCAGTCTAGTATTGTTGAATCAGTTTGTTAATGAGCTGGTTGCAAATGCTGCTTAGTAGCAAACAGTGGTTATTCAGACAGACGCTGTGCAGAAGCATCACCAAACTACTGCGTAACTTGGCATAAATAGCTGCTTTCACGCAAATGGACTTAAATGAGGAGAGACTATAGTGTGGGTGTAAGGTATATATTAAGATGAGATCTTTAATAGCTATGAGCAAGAATAATACAAATAGATCCCCCTTTTTCAAAATATTTGCTTTAAAAACTGCAGGAGGAATTGAGCCTACCTAGTTTATGCTAAAATAAAAAAGTGAACACATGGCTTATGACAAATCATGAGAAGTATGACTCAAGATGTCAGCTATCTGTAGTTTTGGAACGTGTCAAAGCCGATTTGCTTCATTTACTTTAGATTTTGTGCATTTGTGAGGATGTGTAAAACTGAAGGGTCTGGAGCAGGATAAAATGACAACTGTATTGCATATGTAGTTCTAATATTTGTGGTTAAACCAAAAAAATCAATAATTATTAATCTTTGAGAGACAAGTTCGGATTCTGCAGACATGAAGTCTGGTTTCAGATAGAATTATACGAAGGGCAGTATTTGTTAAGTTTTTGTGCTCCTTTTGATAGGAGCGGAGGAGACAAAAGCTAAGGAAATGGGTCAGGGCTGTTGATGGCAGAAACTACATAGCTTTGTCACTTCTTACGGCTATTCTGGTATTTTAGGGCTCTCAAGCGTGTATTTTGACTGTGATTCCTCCTTTAAGTAGAAAAAAGCAAGTTTTATTTGCATGTTACTGGTAAGAAAAAATTAATCGGAATAGCAAGTTCTGAATTCAGTGGATGATTTTTTGCCACTCTTCTAACAGGGTGCCTGTCTGATGACGTTGAATTTAGTAATTTTAAATGAACTGAGTGGCACAATCAACTGTAACTTTATTAAAAAAAAATTACTAATATTTAAAAAAAAATCCTTTTTCTGTTTTTCACTTGTGTGAATTTTGTAAGTCATTTAACTTTTAGGCAGTCAAATTCAAACAGCTTGCAAGGCCTTCTACAAAAGTAATGTAATTCACAGAAGGAAGGCCCCGCTTTCCTGGAAACAGCTAAACATTCGTCTGCCAATGGGAAGTAGTGAGTGAATTCCTTATTTTGCTTTTCTTGCCATGCAGCTTTTTACTTTACTGATTAAACTGTCTTTGTCTAAACTCATGAGTTTTTGCTCTTTCACCTTTCTGATTTTCTCCCCCACCCCACTGGGCGGGAGCGGGTGAGTGGCTGTGTGGGGCTGAGCTGCTGGCCAGGGTAAACCACGGCAGGAGCGAAAGAGAAAAACATTTACTCCTTCACTGGGAGGTTGTGGTGGTGTTGATGGGAATTACTGGTGTAAGCAAGGCTTTTCCAGAGCCTCGGTTTCAGATAGTAGTACTCTTTATGTGAACAAACTGCTAGAATATATGAAGCTATTACAGTGTGTCAGCAAGATAGGAGCACATTTGATGAAGAACGAGGTATATTCCTGTTAATTGGGTGTAATACAGAAGCACCGTTCTGCCTAAAATGTCAGTCACAGCCTTCTCTAGTTGCAGAATAACAAAACATCACAAGCTTTTACTGCAGTACGTTTTTTCCTCTGCAAAGTAAAACTGTGAAGACATGTCTCAGGCTGTGCGAAGGATAAAACTACTGCATGCCAAATCCTGTACAAGAACTGAAGAAAATTGAGTTTCTGTCCTCGCTCTTAATTTTATTATTTTAAATTCTCTTTGTTATAGTCTAAGCTGACAATAGCTTATGCATTTAAAAAAAAAGCTATTTCTTAATGGAAAGCTTTATGTTAATAGGATATTACTGTTGTCACATTTTGAAGCTTTTTTCCTTGTTATATAAGATGGTCTTCTGATCTAGAATTATAGTAGTTCAAAAGAATGAGCTGGTTTTGTCTGGGCAGTCATTAATACTGGTTCAACATTGTTATAATCAAGGGGTGAGAAGATTGTTGCTGATAACAGGAGCTTGTTTTAGTACTGTGCAGTTGAAAACCGAGCAGTTACAAAAACTAGGCATGTTTGTAGCCTAATAGAGGACCATGTAGACCAATTTTAAAGTTGAATTACTTAAGCCCACATTTTTCTTTAAAAGCTTTAGATATTAAAAAAAAAATCCAATGAACTTCGACAAGGTCTTGAAACTTAGGTGAGTTGAGGCAGAATGTTTTTGCGTTGTCTGCTACACAGCTATGTTATGTATTTGGTACATGTGAATCTTCCAAAAATTCTGTGAATGTTGTTCTCCTTACAAACTTTGTCTCACCTTTATCTTACAGTAACTTAAATTGATCACACTACTATTTAAATATAATACTGAATATATACATTTTGTGCTGTGATTATAAAGGAGCTTGTTAGACTATGGCCAACTGTGCCTTAAAGTCAGAAAGTAGTAAATACCAACAGTTCTTTGTATGAAGTGGCATGTGCTGAATAAAAGAATTAATTAGGACCAGCTGGAACAAATTATTGTACTTAAAGGTCATTATTTGTTTTTATCCTTAATATACTATAGTTTTCTTATGAATTTGTGTATTAATATGGGGGAAAAAAATTAAACCAGTAATTCTTCAAAAATACTATGTTCCTTATCAAATTTTTTGTTTGCTCTTTCATATAATAGGTGAAATATTACAGACACTTGGCACCTGATCACTTGCTTCAAATATGCCATCGGCTTGGACCGCTTCTAGAGCAAGAAATTCCCCAAAGTGTCCCTGGAGTGCAGACGTTATTAGGAGCTGGCAGACAGTCTTTGCTTCGTACAAACAAAAGTATGAAAATTTTATGAGAATTTTGAGAGTTCTTGCTATGTTATGCCTTTTCTGTGTTTTCGCATGAAAAAACGCCTACATTTTTTGTGTAATTTTTTAAAAACAGGTTGCAAACATGTCGTATGGAAGGGATCTGCTCTTGCTGCACTACATTGTGGGAGGCCTCCAGAGTCCCCTGTAAATTATGGCAGTCCACCTAGTATAGGTAAGTCAATTTTATTCTGGCATTGCCTTTGTAATACCTAACTTCCAGGGTCATTGATTATTGTGATGATGAGAGCTAAGTAGTAGCTCTGTTTATATTTTTCTTTGTCATATACCTTACCTTTAGTATTATTTTTATTAAGATGTTGTGTTGTCATATTTACCGGGGGGGGGGAGGGTATTGTAAATTCATCTACTAGTTCTGCTCTGAAGCTAATTTTGTCTTTGAAGTATGAAATGGAATAAAATATATTTCAACAGTGAATACATACAAATAAAACTCTTTTTCTTAAAGATGTAATAAAGCTGTCAGTAGATAAATAATTAGTACTATATAACAACTTAAAACCAGGACAGTATAGCCTGCACCCATTGTTGGGGAGAATAAGTCATGTAGACTGGTAATGGTTTTCTTTGGAAAGATTTGAGTGTCTTGTAGAAGTTATTCTCTCTGGTCCATTCAGTAATGTTGTAGCTGTGCTTCAGTTTGCTATGCTGTATCATGAATCATACATGCGCTGTCTGTACCATTGAAAAACTGGGAAGCTGGAGGTTGGAGGTATTCTTTTTCTTTTTTTCTTTTTTAGTTATTATCTTTAAGCTCTCATATGGTCACTAAAACGTTCATTAGCTTTCAACCTTTTAACAAGAAGATACATGTTTTTTTAGTTGCTAGAAGAATCAAGATGTGTGATATTTTGGATATCTTTAAGGAGCATCCTTTTTGTTTTGTAATGGATAGGAAAATGGGCAAAATCACTTGTGTCTTTTCATCTTTCTCTGCTGATGTCCAGGGAAGGGGGAGTGATCAAGACCAAATTACCAGTGTGGATTATACAAAACCAGTAGTGGTTTATACCAAAATGGTAGTTTCAGATGGATGTGCAGTGTTGGATTACAGTGGGCAGAGAATATTCAGTTGATTGGCTCCTGATCAGGTGCAGCTGCTGCAAAGACACAGGTTTTGGTCTTGGCAAGAAAGAGGAGACTAAAGGTATATTGGGGAACTAATGAGTAACAGTGTACAAATATATAGGCAGGTGCTTTTTGCAACAGGCATTTTTAATGTGGTAGCTTGCCATTACAGTTTTTCAATCTCTAAACTCCTTTTGGAGGCCATTGGCAGCCTGTAAGTTTTCCATTAATTGGGAGATAAATATATATTTTATGTACTTTCATATGTATGTGTGTGTATATATATATGATAGAGCTTAATTTGGGCTATTTATATTATTTCTAATGTTGAAGAAACTCAAAATCAAATCTCAAAATGCATACCATTACACTTTACCCAGAGAATTACAGTTCTCTTGTAACAGCTGAAGCAGAAGCATGCTACAGCTAAGAAGCTCTTAAGTTGAGCACAGCCGATTTTGACTTGTTCAGATGGCAAAGTATTTGGTGTCCTAGTAGCTCTTTCATTTTAAAGCACGAGTTGCATGCTTTCCATGATATTTCTGTAGTTGCTTGGAATATAGGAAGAGAATGTGGTTTTGCCTGGGTGTTCAGAGCCAAGTTTTCAGAACCTCCTCAGCTAGTATGCGTATTGGTCATAGGTGGTTCGCTTGAACTGTCATGTAGCACCTGCATCCATTCAGTGTGGTTTTGTTTACAGCTTCGGTTTTGGTATTCATGTAGAGAGTTGTTTCTGTGTTGTGCTCTGGATGTGGGGGAGAAAATGCTTGTTGCTGAATAGAATAATGCCCCTCTTGATTGGCTGTGCATTGGCTTGAAGATTTTAAACTTGGAAAATCTTGGCCTAGATTAGCAGCTATTTCTGCAAGGTGACTGGAGGACAGAGCTTCCTGATAGCTGAGATTTCTTTTAGTGGTTGCCTTACCTTTTCCTTTACTCGGGAATACATTTTAAAACATGTTGGAGAAATCAGAATGGAAGAGGACTGTTTTGCGTTGTACTGTAGCTTGGTCCATGGTATATAGTATTTAAAGGAAAAAAGACCAGTGTATGAAATCCATGGCAGCTGGAATCAAAGAAAGTTGTAGAGTTGCCATGGCAGTGGAATTAAATGTTAAGAAAAATAACTTTCAGACTCTTTTTTTAGGGAAGAACGAGTAAGGCTTTCTAAATAAATGTTATTTTTATTGAACCTTTTGCAGAACACTGAATATTTGCAAAATTACAGTTATTTCAACATACCACGTTTTTCATGACCAATAATTTCCTTTTCCAAACATTGAGATAAGTGGTGGTAAGTGAAAGTGAAGTGTATTTGGATTTTTTGGATGTCTGGTTCAGAGCTGTGTGTTAAAGCATTTGTTTTTGATTTATCCTATTCTCGTCTGATCCTCTCAATGAAATCATGAACTGGAATGACACTTCTTTTATAAATTGAACTAGAAAATTTTGTTCTGTTTCCCTAAACTTCTCCATTTTCCCCTGGGAAGGCTGTATTTTATGTATTTGCCCAACAAAAAAGAAGTTGGAACCTATTATTCTTCAGGCTGTATGTATTTCAGGTGGAGGACCCACTAATGGTTGAGGAACAGAAAAGATACTGAAGTCTTTCTGTCTTGTGTAGGAAAACTTAATTTACATTTCAGTGAACATAGAAAAATATTCATTCTTTTCCTAGCCTGATGAACCAATGCAATTATGATGCTGATGGGATATTCTTTAGAATTAAATTTTTGTGTGTGTTGTTCCAGCTGCCTTGTAGGTAGCTGGTTTCTATGCAAATATGTACAAATATATAGTTCTCCAGAAAACTACAGAATATCTTTAGAACGTAATAAAGAGAAACAAAACTTGAATATGGAATAATCTTTGTCCAGTTGCTATCACTTTTGCAACATATCTTATAAAAAGTTGCTGAAGTGCTTAATTAAGAACAAAAGAGCTATGTCATATGATAATTTGTTTTGTTAAAGGTCCCGTCTTCTTCGATGCAGAAACAGAAAAAGAACTCTTTCAGTAATTTCCAGGAACTGCTGAAAAAGCGCAGAACCAAGGCATAAAGCTTTGAGAGCTTTGAGCTCAAAGCTCTTGGGGAAGCTGGCCATTCAGGTGTGAAGACCTGAATGAGACTGGCTGTTTGCACCAGACAATGAAGAATGTTTTTCCTGACTGGTGAATAATCTGCCTTTCAGAAATAGTATTTCATGGTCTTACTGAATACTCCACTTCAAGAAAAGTTCTGAGGCATTTTGCACTTTTCTCACAGTTTCTTTATTAAATGATGCTGCTGGTTTGGCTGTAAAGAGAATGTGAGGTTCGGAAAGTGGTGTAGATGTCTGTTGTTAGAAATATAGTAAATACTTTAGGCCCAAAAGCTAACCTAAGAGTACTTTGTGTAACTATATTATTCTGTCAGTTATAGTAAAAAAAAAAAAAAAAAAAAAAAAAACCCCCCT